GGCAACAGGGCCCTGATTTCAGAATCCAGGGTCACCATTCACATTGGGCAATGCTGTGCTTCCTGTCATCAGGCTCAGAGACATGTGTCCAAGTCACCCTGGACTGCCCCATCTCCCCAGTTTGTCAGGACCAAGTAGTTACCAAAGCCTGCCCATCCCACTCCTCACGGTTCCCGCATCTTCCTCCTCTCTCCGTCTAGTCCTCCAGTGTCTGGGTAGGGCCTCTGATGCCTGTGGGCTGGTGCCATGGACTCCATGGTGCTGTTCGCAAGCCCGTGTCCCTCTCTTCCTTGGTGCTGAGTTTTCTGTCCTACAGGGTGTGTGAGCATTTGATGACACAATGCAGGTACAAACACTTGGTTCAAAAAGCTCTACCGAAAGTCTGTTACAGTGCATTTCAGATTTAATGACACAGAATAGAAAGCAGATGAGGGAACTCTTATTATGAAACCCTTCTCTATTGAAAAGAAACCTCTACTAACAGGTGAGCCTGGTTCAGAGCAGAGTAAGTCATTCTCCCTTTCCCTCTATCCCTTTCTTTTCTTTCTCTCAACCTTTGGCTGGGGGGGCCCACTTCCTATGAGAATGTTTACAGATTGGGAATGCAGGTTCCTGCCCCATGCTGCATGGGGGCACTGGGAGATGCTCTGGGAGCTGCGTCCTCAGACGCCTGGCCAGGGCCGAGGAAGTGCCTTTGTGTGCGGTGTTTGTCACAGCAGCCTCCCAGCCAGACCCTATATTGGATTCTTGTAAATTTTGCCATGCAGAGAACTTCCAGGTAAGGAAGATGCCTCTGGATCAGCAAAGGGTGATTCTGCTGCCCTTTATTTATGACCAAAGGAACATTCCTCAACATTCAAATACCACCGGACTGCTCTCAGACCTCCCTTGTGAAGGAACTATGCTTTCGCATGTCCCGTCAGATGTGGACCCTTCCCCTAGTGGGGAAGGACACAAAAGTGAATCTGCTTTGGAGAAGGGCAGTAGTTGTGACCCTGTTGCTCCTTCTCCTGGGGCAGATGTGACTGGGACAGTGACCTCATGTGTCACCCCATCACCTCCTTCGGGCAGGTTTTGACAGGCAGATCCCTCCTTGTCCTTAGCAGCAGAATCAAGAGCCAGCCGGGACAATTGTTGGAGAGACATTTCTCAGAGGAACATTTACATATTACCTGTTCTGATTGTTACAATAATGGGATGTTTAGATTTTTACAAAATGTACACACAAATCTCAATGGGACTTATTTGAGAACTGTTGCTAACAATGTTCATGTCCATCTTATTTTCCCAAAGGAGAGAAGGAAAGAATTAAATGCGCGGTAAGTGTTAAAAAGGCTTTAGGTTCAACATGGAGAAGATAACCGAGGATCCTCTGAAACTTCGGCTTGAATCACTGTCCGACTAGAAAAACTAGAACCACCCAAGTGTAGAGACCACATCACTGTAGTCAGTGGGCACAAGTTCATCCCCCAGTTCCTGTGGCCCTTGAGGGGCTGCCATGTGATCAGGGTGTGAACGGCCCTGTGGGTACTGTAGGAGCACTGCCGAGTATTGCCGCCCAGGAGGAGAACCCACATCCTTCCTCTGTGTGCTGAGTGTCACCATCACTGGGCCCTGTCATGCCCAGGTGACTTGCTGAATATGTGAAGAGAGAAGCAGCCAGGTTGGAGATTTAGTGGAGGGAGGATGCAATTAATAGCAACCAGGAGTCTTAACATTACTAAAGGTGATCATGAGGGTGGCATCCTCCCACTTTGTCACATCATGTGACCCAATCTGGGAGTGACATCCCATCACCGTTGCATATTCTCTTGGTGAGAAGCAAGTCTCAGATTCTGTCCACACCCAACGGGTGGGGACACCACAAGGGCTGGACTCATTGGTGCTCACCTTAGGGTGTGTCTGCCACGTGGAGTATTTTAAACCAGAAAACAATTGAAGGTGAAGGTAACTGGTAACAAATCATTGGAATCTATACAAGACGAGGTAGGAGGAGGGAAAGGGCGCCGAAGCGTAAAGCACAGGTTTGATGGGCTGGTTGTTTTTCCAATGCCCACTGAAATACATACCGTGCCTGACCTTTAAAATGACATAAGAATCCTCCATGTTCTCCCTTAACACACTTTGGACGTTGTTAAAGGTCCCACGTTGGCAGCACTGCTCTCTTCCGCATTCTGAATGGCAGCAGGGTAGATTAGGACCTAGGGCCAAATGAGAGAGAAAAGCAAGCAGATAACTGAGGAGAAGACATTAAGAGGAGAGTTGATGATCAGGTATATAACAGACTATTTTCCCTCTTTAAATTGTTGCTCTAATTTCTTTGAGTAAGGGGAAGGTGGAAGGAACTCTAACGGTAACAAGGACTGAACACCCCACAAGACAGCAGTGGGTGCAGGGAGGGATTTTCCTGCAGAGACCTGGGAGTGAGGAGATGCAGGGCCCTACCTTCTGCTGCTGACCAGGACACACGGGATGGCCGAGTCAGCTCTGCTGGACCACTTCCCTTCCAGGGTCCTCTCTCCCTGCGGTGATGACATTCCCTCCCTGGGAATGCCCTGCTCCCTCTGCAGGAGTGGACGTTCTCCCAGGGTCTGTCCTCATGCGCCTGCAGGGCGCTGAACAGCTCTGTGCAGACCTGCCCCTGTCCCGGCCCCAGTATGACCCTCCAGCCTTCTCAACCCCAGTCCCGGGCCCAGCCTTCCTCCAGCACAGGGCAGAAGGGGCACCTGGATGTCAAGCTGTGGGAAACCTGAGACCATAGTTCCCCCAGAAGTCTCCACTGACTTCCAATCCCTCTTTATTCTTCCTACATCTGCCTTGCTGGACCAGAGGCCAGGGAACAGGCTGAAGGGGCAGATGTCAGAGGGGTTGTGTGAGGGTCTGACGGGGGAGGCGGGTGTGCGGGAGGAAGAACACAGTGAGCACCACGACACTTTGTTCCCACTGTCTTGATTCTTGCTACAGTGCCAGCAATTCTACCTCCATCTCTTCTTCACGGTGGAGCAAATGCTAACGGAGAACAGAAAAAGTCTTAATGTTCTTCTGTAACCATCCCGACCTCCTGAAGGCCCTGACAGGATCTCAGGCACAGCCAGGGTCCATGGACCACGTTTCAGAACTGCCGATTTAGCACAATAGCCTCAGTGGGGCTAGATTTTAGAACATGAGGCAATTTCTCTTTTGGGACCAGCCGCACTTTCCCCTGAGACAGAGCAACACATGAAGTCCTGGATGCGGGGACCCAAGTCTCCCTGTGAGATTATTCTCTCAGTACTGAAATACTATGGAGAAAGGTTCAGCGCAGGAGAGCTGAGAAGGTGACTGAGGATTTAAGACAATAGGACAAAGCAGTGAAAGGACAATCTTCTAACTTCTCAGTCATTCTCGTAGTCTTTAAAAATCGGGCATTGTTTCAAAAAGGATTAACACAGCGGTGGAGTTTGGGATCTTGGGTAGGGCCTGCTTCCAACGTTGACCTTTAACTTGGCCTTCGGGGGTGTTCCCAATTTCCCCAACCACTAAGGGCAGTCACTGTGCCCAGACTGTGGGCAAACACCATGGTTAATGTGAACAGCTGCGCTCCTTCTGGGTGGCTGGAGTCTGGGTACTTGCTGGGCAGTGCGCCTGCACCGCCAGCCCCAACACCAGCCTTGGGCCCTGGGTCTCTAATGGGCTTCCCTGGGCAGGACCACCGCACACGTGGTGATGCATTTTCAGTGGTGGGGGACGTGTGGTCTGTGTCACCCCTCCTGGGAGGGAGTGAGCACCAGGAAGCCTGCACATGGAGTCCTCCAGACTTTACCTGGGCCTTTTCTCCTTATGATCCAGACTGACTACCTCATTGTGATAAACCTCAGCCAGGTGAGCAGCTACATGCTGAGACCTGTGTCCTTCTAATGAATCTCTGAACGTGGGGATGTTTACGTGACATCGTTGTGCAGATGTTAGATGCTTGCAGAGGGACCAAGCTCCTCAAACAGGCACTTCAGACCCCAAAAGGTAGCTCTGGGGCTCAGATTCAGGGACCACCAGAAGTGACAGGGCCCATCCAGTCCCGAGTTAGCAAACATCTAACACAAATCACCCATCAGCCACTCTTCCTTCTTGATGCCAAGGCCAACGTCAGGCACAGATCATGCCCTCTCTCCCCTGATCTCATATGGAGCTCGTGACGGGCATCTTCTGCAATGGTCCCAGTGATCCTCTCTCCTGGTGGTCATGCCCTTCTGTTATCCTTCCCCTTGTCGTGAGCAGACTTGGTGCCTACTTCTACTGCTGGGTACACAAGGCTCCATGACTGTTTTCACAGTCCTGCATGGTCAGAGCTTCCTGAGCAAAGAGTTCTGGCAGCAACTTGGGTTAAATGATGTTTGAGTAGTAAATATGCCTTGGAAGCTGGAGATTTTAGAAAATCTAGAGAGATTTATAGAATGTGAATTGCATAGTTCTTAAGTGTTCCTTTTATGCTTTCAGAACTGTATATACCTGTGTAACCATCACTGAATCAAAACATAGAATGTTCCACCACCCCACACAGTCCCCTTCTGCCTCTTCTAGTCAGTTCCCACCCACACCCATAGAGGCAGTTACCCCCTCATAGGCCTTTTATGTGACTTAATAGAAGAATATATATGAGGGTGCTTTGGGAAATCTAAAATAAGAGTTGACTTAAAGAATGTCAGGGTGCTTTGATTAATAATAATGTACCATATCAATGGTCTAAATAAGAAAATGAAAGAATCAGAGAGTCCCCAATGAGCCTGATAAGGCATTTAGTCAAATAAATCTTCAACTGGATTTTAAAATGGCATAACGGTAAGAATATCTACATCAAATCAGAGTCAGACCGAAAGGCCTGCCTCCTCTAATCACCGTTGAGCATTGCTCTGGATGCTCTAGCCTATGAAACAAGACTGGAAATGAAGGCAAGAGGCAAGACACTTGGAAGGAGCCAGACAATATAATAATTTTTTAAAACATGATTGTAGGGCCAGCCTGGTGGCTTAGCGGTTAAGCGTGCGCGCTCCGCTACTGGCGGCCAGGGTTTGGACCCCGGGCGCGCACCAACGCACCGCTTTTCCGGCCATGCTGAGGCTGCGTCCCGCATACAGCAACTAGAAGGATGTGCAACTGTGACATACAACTATCTACTGGGGCTTTGGGGAAGAAAAAAAGGAGGAGAATTGGCAATAGATGTTAGCTCAGAGCCGGTCTTCCTCAGCAAAAAGAGGAGGATTAGCACGGATGTTAGCTCAGGGCTGATCTCCCTCACAAAATAAATAAATAAGTAAATAAATAAATAAATAAATACAGAGAAGACAATTTAAAAAAAATAAAAATAAATAAAACATGGTTGTATTCTTAATAAATCTAAGGTTTAAGGTACAATAAAATGAATGTACGTCTGGATCAATATCAGACTTAGGAGGATCAACAGGTTAGAAAATGTAATTTAAGAAGATTCAATTCATAATGGATAAAATATAAAGTATAGCATTGACAAGAAATAGGAAAAATTTATCTGAAGAAAAACAAATTAATTCAGTTATAATTATATATATGAATTGATGAATATTATCTTACTCAAAAAGAAAACATATGAAATATTTTAAAGATCTCAGTTCATCCCCGATTAATTTATAAATTAAAGGTTGTTTCAATCAAAATTCCTATGATTTTTCTTTTGGGGAGAAAGTATCTGTTAAATAATTCTAAATTGTATCTGGGTAATATGATGAATTGTTGAAAAGAATAAGGAAGAGGTGTTTGCTCTACCAGGTATTGAAAACATGTGAGAATTTACATTTAGCAGAGTATTGTATATAATTCCTTTCATGTAAATAAAATAATGCAGATGTACATATTCATGTATATAGATAGATGGCATATGCATAAAGATTTTGGCAAAAAATCACAAGAAATCATCTACTTTACCTTAAGTAAAATGAACCGGGGGGCCAGGAAGAGTGGGGGAGGCTTTCATTTCTCACTGAGAATCATTTGGTAGTGTTTAAATTTTCTCTCATTGGATGTCTTAACCTCTTTAAAAAAGATCAACAGTGGTCAACCAGGATGGGCGCATTATTGGGCATTTCTTTTTGTTTTTGTTTTTATAACTTCTCATTATTTTAAAAAATGTGATATTGATGCAAAAAAGGAATGGAACACAACAGTCTGGCTGGAAAGAGATCAATGTCACTGTAACATTTGACCTGTGACAAAGAAAGGACCAAAAGCAGAGAGAAAAGGGAGAACCAGCTGCTAAATGGGGTTGGAGCAAGGAGAGTGACTCAGAACGATCAGGGTAACTCTGCTCTTCAGATCACAGCAAAAATAATTTCCACGTAGATATATAGCTACACGCTATAACTCAAATCATTTTAAAAAGCTGTCTAAGAAATTAGAGAAGTTTGTCTTATCTGATGTTGGGTGAACAGCTTTCCAAGCTTATGATCAATGAAAAAAATAAAGATATCTATAGATTTAACCCCTTAAAATTTACTACTTCTGCACATAAAAATATAAGACAAAAAGAAAATGGAAACATACTAGGAATCTATTATCTGCATTTGAGAAAATGAATGACATCATTTCTTCATAGAGAAGACAATTTGAAGAGATTCAAACAACTAGTAAACAGGTGAAAAACAAGTCAATAAACAGAGAAATGCATATCTAAGCCAATTAATTTTTTCCTTGTTAGTAAAAATGAAAACAAAACAGAAGTGATGTCAGATCAAACTAATGAACTGTTGGTGGGCACCAAAACTGTGGTGTGTGTGTGTGCGCGCGCACGTGTGTGTGTGTATAGAGGAAAAAAATACCTCTACGGGTTAACCCAGATGTTCTACTTCTTCTAGGAAGCCATCCTACCAGCATGATCAGAAATCTGACCAAAGATTTTTTTCAAATATATTCACAAATTCTCAGCCTTCAGTACGCTGGTTATTGAGGTTTCAGGGTGGGGTGGTCTCAGAGTTCCAACATAGCACTGGACACTTGCCTTTGCCTGTCTTGAGAATGTAGGTTATCTTCCTCACCTTCAGAGGTGACCGCACAGGATGTTTATTGTGTGTTTGCAGGGGGCACAAGAGTCAAATGTCAGGAAAAAAGGTACAGAGCTGGAGAATGGAAGTGACCTATAGTGAGAGGTCATAGGACACAGAGCCCTGATTAGTGCTGGTTTGTTGTCAAGGGAAGGAGAAAAAGGGAGGAACAAAGCAAGGTCCATCCAGAGAAGAGGAAGGATGGCACTGGAGGACAAGGCAGCAGCTTGTGGCCCCCATGGCTTCAGGGTGAAACTGAAGAGCAAATGGGCAGGGGCAGGAAGGGAGTGCCCAAGGGGGATACAGCTCTGCACCCAGCACCTTTGCTCTGGGGAAGGGGGCAGAGGTGGGGCCACGGGGCCTCCCAGGAACTCTAGGTGAGAGGGAGAGCTAGGGCCTAAAGAGCAAGAGAAGGGAACATGGGTTTTCTTGGGCTTGCAGGGCTGAGCCATCTGGCCCACTGATAAGGATGCAGACAGGCCAATGGGGAGAGAGAGTGAAGGTGCAGGAAGCCCACAGGAGAGGGGCCACACAATGACCCCAGCAACCAGGGCCAGCTCTCTCCTCAGGGACCCACTGCCCCTTCCCAACTGCTCTGTCAGAGCCGGTCTGCACCACTTAGGGGCTCAGCAGACCCAGGCGCCACCCGGCTACACCACCTGGGAAGGCTGTGGGGGACCCAGGCCAGGGCTGGTGTCCCTCTTCCAGGGGGAATAGCAGGGAGGTGAGGGAGGGAGGAGGTACTGAATTCCAGTGGCTCAGGAACCTGGCACTTGGAAATCCAGAGTCAGAGCAGGAAACCCATCCATGCAGGGCAAGCCTGGAGGCATAGAGGGAAGAAAGGAAGGAGCAAGTCACACAGCAAGAATACACACCCTTGCACTTGTGTCTCTCAGAGCTGCTTCAGAGGAGATTTGGGGGATGGGAGAGAAAAAACCTCACACCTCCTTTTATATAAGGTTTCATATTTAATTTGGTCATGAATTCATAAATACATGAGTATTTTGTACCTAATGGCCATCCTCGTATTATTGATATTACTAACAAACTCTTCAAAGGGATCATCTACTTATTCCCTTTATAGGAGAAAAGATAAACCAAAGATGTTCTCATTTCCTGAAGCAATTCTTGCACCCCCATGCACACAGCAGAAGCTATCTGCCCTGTGTTCTTTTGTCCTGTCTTCAAGTTCACTGACTCTTTCTTCTGCTTGTCAAATCTATTGTTGAATACCTTGAGTGGATTTTTCATTTTAGCTCTTTGACTTCTCAGTGCTAGAATTTCTCTTTCTTTGAGAAATCTTTAGATTTCTCAAAATATCCTTTTGATATTTTCTATCTTTATGGATATTGTTTATATATTTTTGTCTTGTTTTCCTTTAGTTATTTGTTCATGATGTACTTTAGATTTTTGAGCATGGTTAAGACAGTTTATTTAAAGCCTTTGTTAAATAAGTCCAATGACTGGGCTTCCTCAGGTAACTGTCAATTTACTTTTTCCTATGAATGGGCCATACTCTCCTATTTCTTTGTATACTCTTTGGGTTGAATTGTGTTCCCCCAAAACACGTTGAAATCCTACTCCCTTGTACCTGTGAATCTGAGCTTATTTGGAAATCAGTTCTTTGTAGATACAATTACTCAAGTTAAAATAAGGTCATACTGGATGAGTGTGGGTCCTAAACCCTGTGACTGGTATCCTTATAAGAAGGGTCTGGAAGACACAGAAAGACACACAGAAGAGAGATTGCTATGTGAGGATGGAGACAGGGGTTGGAGTGATGTGTCTACAGGCCAAGGAACGTGAAGGATTGCTGGTAATCACCAGAAGCTAGGAGAGGGTCGTGAAACAGATTCTCCCTCAGAACCTCCAGGAGAACAAACCCTGTGTACACCTTGATTTTGGACTTATAACCTACAGAAGTGTGAGAGAATAATTTCTGTTGTTTGAAGCCAACCAGTTTGCAGTCACTTATTATGGTAGCCTCAAGAAACTAATACACTTACTGGAATTCAGCCATGCTTTTTTCATTAGGCACTCGCTTGTTAGCTGTTACCTTTGGTTAGATTCCAGAGTTCTGGAAAAGGTAACTTGTCAGTTCTTCCCAGTGTACTGGTTGTTTCTGTGGAGGGAATGATCTGTGAGTGCTCTATTCCGCCATTTCCCCTGACATCACTCTTCCTGTTATGCTGAATGATGTACTTTCTGGAGCCTGCCAAGTGGTCCTGAATTTTCTCCTTTGCATTTCTTCCCTCCATCTTGGAGTTTCCAAGGTGGCCAGCAAGATGTTGACTGAGGCACCCACCCCATGTTATTGAGCCAGGTCACCAGCATTTCATAGAAGGCATCCTGTGGGCCCGAGGCTCCAGCTCTGGACACGTGGATCTGCTTGTCTGTGAGGCTCACCTACTGTGTGAACAGGTTCCAGGAATTAAAGGGCATGATGATTGGAAAGTAATCAAAAAACAGTCTCAGGCCTAGGTGGGGGGAAGCTACACAGTCAGATGAGTTGGGACACCTTCAGAAAGGGCAGAGGAGCCTCAGTTAGGCCTAGACCCAAGGGTGGAAGCTAGTGAGCTTCCCCTGCTGGTGAACCTGCTGCTCAGCATCCCTTACCTGCTTCCCATCAGCAGAGAATCAGGCCACACTGCCTGGGCCTCACCTGTGCTCAAGGCACTGCTGAGAGTCAAGGTCAACAGAGAATCCTGGCCTAAGGGAAGGCTGAGAGCCCACCTGGGAGGGGAGATGGACGTCATGGAGGGAGAAAGCAGTAGGAGACAGACTGGGTGCAGCAGGCCCTGAGAGGAGGGAACATGCTCAGGCTGCACTCATCATGAGAGTAAGGTCCCAGGGCTGCCACACCAGCACCTGTGGACAGAGCAAGGGCCTGGAGAGAGCAAGGTCTCTGCCTTTACACCCAGCCTGGCCTCACTCACCGACACTGTGGCAGAGCTAGATGGGGACAAACAGACTCTGAGCAAGAATTTAACCTGTAAGATGGCACAAACACTACCCATCTCATGGGACCCTACTGCAGTGCACACCGCCATCCGTAGGTATGTAAGAGGAGCACTGAAGACGAGTTTATATTTTCTAATTGCCATATCAAAAAATGTAAAAGATACAACATTCATTTTGCTGATGTAAAATAACCAATAAGATATAGAGATAAGAGAGATGAGGTGAGTTTTACTTGAGCCAGGGTGAGGATTGTGACCTGGAAAGGCAGTTTCCTCAAAGGAAGAAAGCATTCTGGAGAAGCATGGTTTTCAGTAGTCTTACACCTTTCTAGAACAGAGAACATACATAAACACACCCAAGATACACTTTCATCAAAGTTTCAAAGAGGTATTCAGTTGCAAATTAGCAGGGCAACATGACTCTGATGGTAGGAGGGGGACTAATATGGGCATTACTGATAGGGCGTTACCAATAGGGTGTTACCAATATGGACACTGGCGTAGGAGGGGAAGTATGTATTCTTACCTAAAAAGAGTGCTTCCTTTGCTTTAATGGTTAAAGCAGATGTTTAATGGTTTCATAGGCCATAAGTCAGTCTTCTTTAGTTCAAGCCAAATCAATTTTCAATCAGAATAGTTACCCCATATACCTCAATATGTGAAAATCTCTTGTCAATTTTAAGAATATATTTTATTTAATTGAATCTATAAAAATGTTATCATTTCATCACATAATCAGCATACAAAAAACATCAATGAGACATTTTACACTCTTTTTTGGTACTTATTCTTTGAAATGTGGTATCTATTTTACAGTACAGCTCATCAAGTTTGGCCTCACCACAGGTCAGGCACTCAGTAGCCTCCTGGGCCCAGTGTGTGCCTGCTGGTCAGATTAGCCCCTTAGGAAGCCCTCAGTGTGGGTGAATCTGGCCCTGAATAACAATAGAGAAGGGAGGATGGTGGAGGAGGGAGGGACAGGGAGATGCAGAATGTTGTTTGCCGAGATGCGATGGGGTACAATGAAGGGGGAAGAGGTGGGAGATGTGATTTAGTGTCCCCATGGTCCAGTGACAATCAGCATAGGAACCCCTGCTTCTAGTATCCTGCTCTGTGTGTTGTCCTAGCAGCAATGGGGATGGCAGTCAGAGCAAGCTCGCTTCCTTCCACTCCTGTTCCACTGCCCTGAGCACAACACTCACTTGCAATGGGGGTGGGAGCTGTTTGCTGGAACCAGCAACCCCCTTCTCGTCTGAGACTCTTCAGCTTCTGCCAGTCTCTGTAAAACACAGTGGAGAACACCCTTGGTCCGACTCTGGAGTCATAGATCCCAGAACTGAGCCTGACAACCAGCCAGCTGTGTGACCTGGGGCAGTCACCTCCCTTCCTGGGTCTCTATGGAGATGGGGAGGAACCTCCTCCCCTGCTTAGCTCACAGGCTGTGTGTGCTTGTGTGCTCATGGAGGTCCACCTTACCTGCATAATGCTCACTTCTGTCAACCTTAAAAAATAGAATAGCCAGTTATTTTACCAGCAAAAAGAGTTCATATGTGAATAGCAGAGGAATTGCAATATGGGGCCTGCAAGCTATGGCTGGCCATAGGCAAGTCCAAAGAGCCAGAGGGAAGATTAGCTTAGGTTTTAGGAGGAAACTGGGGAGAGCTCTTTTGAAGGAAAGTTCATTGGAGGAACAGAGAGTTCAGGGTGGTGATGGCTTCTCATTGGCTGAGCTACAGCATTTCTCCTTGGCTGCACTGTTGCTAGGCAAGGAGGAAATCTTCCTCCCTCTTTGCTGAGGTTTGTAAAGAAGGTCCTTCCTGTGGAGTCTACAAACAACAGTGAGTGTGAGAGCTCCCACTCTGGTCCTTCAAGCTCTGCTTTAAACAAGGTTTCCTTTATTTACTTTCACACTTCTTAAGAGTCTGTTCCAGCTTTGACAACTGTATATACTTGAGTAATCAACCATCACCCAGTCAAGACATGGGATATTCCCACCACCCCACACAGTTCCCATCTTCCCCTTCTAGTCCATTCCCACCCACCTATCAGGAAACAGTCACTTCCTCACAAGCTTTTATGTGACACAAATGAAGAACATATATGAGGGCACTTCAGAAAATCCAAAGTAAGGGTTTATTCCATGAATGTGAAGATGCTTTGATCAACAATTATGTGCCATATGAATAGTCTAAATAAGGGAATGAAAGCATCTGATAGTCTCCATGGAGGGTGAAAGGCATTTGGTAAAATTTAGCACCGATTTTGATTTTTAAAAACCATTTCTAAAAGGAGGCTGCGTCCATAATAATAAAAATTTCTACATGAAACTAAGACCCAATGTCATTCTTCTTTTTTTTTTGCTGAGGAAGATTCACCCTGAGCTAACATCTGCTGCCAGTTTTCCGCTTTTTGTATGTGAGCCGCCATCACAGCCTGGCCACTGACAGACAAGGGATGTAGGTCCGAGCCTGGGAACCAAACATCAAATTGGAGCAGACCGAACTTAAGCACTAGGCCACTGGGGCTAGCCATCCAACATCATTCTTAATGGTTAAATACTAGAGGTCTCCTGAAGAGAGTCCAATCAATATGAAAACACCTGCTTTTGTTACTGAACACAAACACAGGTTCGTTTACCCACTGCACAGGAGGGCCAATAACTGGAATGCCAGGCTTGTGGCAAGGAAAGAGATTTATTATTGAAAGGCAGCCAGATGAGGAGATGGGAGTTTATAAAGCTCAGATCCACTTCCTTGAAAGGAAAAAGGTAGGGGCTTTTATCTGGAGTTTCATGTAGGGGAGGGGGGGCATGTGCTGGGGTTTTAGGGAGGGGAGGGGGAGCATGTGGCCTTACTGGTTGGGGCCTTCCCAGCCTGCGTTTGGCCTTGAAGACTGAATTTCTTTTCCCCTGACCCTCTGGACTTTTCTGGTTAGTTTTCATCTTCAGCCTGCATTTGGCCTTGTGAGGCTGAATCTTGATGTCTAGACTTTGATTTCCTGGGAAAGACAGCTCACTCATATACTAAGGAAGGACAGAAAGACCTGGTTAGTTTTGAACAACAGTTGATTATGCTGAGTATGCACAACTGCAGTCAGCAAAGCTTATCTCAAAGTTTTTTGCCCTAGGGAAAATTTTTTAACTTCTTTGTTCTTGGTTTTGTTTTCTCTCAACAGTTAAACAGTGTTCTAAGAATTCTGGCCTATGCAGCAAGATGTGAAACAAAAACATGAGGCAGATTCTTGGATGGAGCATGAAAAGTAGTCATTATTTTAGATGTAATTGTATACTTTAAAAATCGTAAGGTTTAAACAACAATACTTAAATATCGATGTATATCCAGACAAATGTTTAAAACATGGCAGAAACAAAACATTAGAAAATGCGGTTACAAGAGAATCCAATTTATACATGATACAATGTATTGAAAATACAAAGAAAACAGCCTTGACAAGAAAATGGACTAATTTATGTGAAGAAAAACACATCTTAATTGAGTTACAATAAAATACTTGACTTGAAATACTATCTTCTTTGATAAGAAAAATATTGAACATTGACAATATCTCAATTCTTCCTAGATTACTTTTTTAAATTGAAGGTAAATTTAATAAAATTCCAATGATTTTTGGGGTGAGTGGAGGAAATCTTATGAAACAATTCTAAATTTTATTTGGCTACAATTACAAGTTTTGAAAAAGTAATGATATGTATTTGCTCTATTGAATATTAAAATATATTAGAAAATGTCATTGGGATGGATATATTACATAATATAATGTCTTTCATGTAAATAAAATATACAGCTATACATATGCATGTATATATATATAAACACATGGCATATGCATAAAGTTTTTGACAAAGAATAATTAGAAATTATCTCTTGTAGTTACCTGAAGTAAAAAGAATCAGGGAGCTGGGGAAAGAGTGAAGGAGGTCTCACTATTCACTAAGAACCTTTCTATACTGATTTGTGGAGCATGTATTGACTTCTTTTTAAAATATGTCCAAGTAGTTAATCAGAATGGAAGGATAATTGACCTTCTTAATGTTTGTTTTCTTTTTTTACATTCACTTTTTTTTTTTTTTTTAAAGATTTTATTTATTCATTTTTTTCCCCCCCAAAGCCCCAGTAGATAGTTGTACGTCATAGGTTCACATCCTTCTAGTTGCTGTACGTGGGACTCGGCCTCGCGTTGGACGGAGAAGTGG